CCCATCTCATATCCTCCCGTGACTGTTCTGAAAGCTTTCTCAAATAGTGTCACAGATCCTAATGGGGTTATGTAGTGTCTGGACTCCAGTGAAGCTTGTAGATGGAGCTATTAGATTTAGAAAAAAATGGTTTCATTGGGAAAATGGAAGCGATTGTGTGAGATTTCTCATTGGGTCAGAGGCCCTCCATGGACCTTTTCCACAACAATAGAGCCTCTGAGTGCCAATAGACAGTGTTCTCAATTCATTTTATAATGGATCAACTGAGAGGGCAATTCCTGCAATTGCCAAGATGACTTGACTGTCAGAAAAAAGTAAAAATGTGGAAGTGTTGTGTGGAGAATCTTGTCCTCTGTGCCTGTATTGTGCCTCCAAGGTTAAACGGGTTTGCTGGGGTAAATTGGCAGTGTTGATGTCACATTGGATCATACTTCTTTCTTCCATTGGCAAAAGATGCTGTGCAGGTTTCCAATTGCACGGAACTGTATTACAGGCTTTAATGCTGTCTAGTGTCCAATAAAAGGTACAAGTCAACAAATCTTTAATACAGGCTTATTTGGCATAATTAGGTCATGTGGCGTTTTGATTGCTGACGTTTGATAAGTGCAAGTGAATGATGCTGATTATTTAGCATTTTCTGTCAGGATTAAGAAGGAACGCCTACTAGTAAGAGGCTCTTAAAGCTTTAGGATAAACTGATTACAGCTCACATCTTATTTAAAATGCTTGATTAGAAATTGCATTCTGGCAGCCTTAGATTAAAACGGCAAACTTATGTAAACTAATCTAACATCAAGCTAAAACTAGCAGAACAAGTTAGAAGTTACTTGTTTATGTTGGCTTTAGTATATGTGGGCTTGAAAGAGAGAGTACATTTTTTCTTATTTCAGTTCAGTTTCATGCACTTTGACTCTTTCAAGTGCTATTGAAGGTGATGAATATACACTGAACAAGTTCAGCTCATGAAAAATGGGGGCAAAAACAAAAGTTTTGCGTTTATAATTTTGTTCCGTATAGTTTCAATTATGCAACAATATCAACACTTAGGCAGTTTTCAATAATATTTCAGTTTTATAAGATCATTTGTCATTTAGATATGCATCGAATACTCTTAGCATGTGAAATATGCCCTGATCAGCTATAATTTGAGAAAGGACTTCAGCGTTTATAATGAGCCCTTAAGTCATATTTTGATGGGTGACTTTGTTGTTTAACATCATGTTTTCAGTAATAAATCCACCCAGAAAGGTAATAGCAGCTGTAATAGTTTTTATTTTTGCTTTAACCAACGTATTTAGTTTCGAAGAGGTCAAGAAAAGATAAACAGGCACTTTATTTAAAACGCCAATATTTAACTCTAACAAGGTGGCCCTCAAAAATCTTCACCATATTACAGCAGGCTAGTAAAACATTGACCACATACTGATGTCAAGGTTGGTTTGTTTGGTGAACGTATGGATGCCACATCAGTCTCATCAGCAGTGTGTGACATGGAAAGAAGTTAATAGACTAAAACTAGTTACTTCGTTTTGTACAAAATCAGATCAACCAACTGACAAAATGGTTTTTGACAAAAGATTTACTTTCAGTAAGAATAAATTGTGTCTTTACTCTATAAGATCTATGTTAACAAATTAAATTGTTATTATATTTTTTGGTATGTAACACTTATTTCAATCCAATCAATTCCTGAAAAATAAAATCAAGTCTAATCCTAAATCCCCCAATACATTATGCATCAGTAAATCGGTTGCATCCATTTACTTTAAAACTATTCTGTCTTTCCTAGACTAAGTAATTATGATGCTGTCAAAAATGGAAGCACTTTTCAGTTGTAAAAATATTGAAAGTCTTTATGATAGTCGGTAGTGTCAAATATCTGGGCTGTTGTATTCATGTACAAGAGCAGACGCACATGGCCTCAGGGACTTCTTCTCTATGTTATCCCGACACACATCTGGATTCTGGCATTAGAATTTATTGCCTGCTGTCAGAAAAGCAACAGTCCAAGATTCTGGTTCCCCTAAAGTGATTTTCACAAGCCCAACATGTCTCAGAAAAAATGTAGTCTTGTATTGATGTGGCCATTAGCCATTCTGAACGCTGGTTTAGCATGTCTGCTGTTTACACAGTAACACCTGAACATGTGCAGGAATGCAAGGTTAGCTCCAAAAGCTCCTCCTCTTCTAAGCTTGTCATTATTCTGTCATGATCTAAAGACATGGGTTACTCTTTGAATAGTGAAACAGTGGTTCTCCTGTGTCTAGTTAAATCAACCCAAAGAATAGGGTTGATTCTTTGGTTTACACCAAAACCAAACGTAAGGTGTTTTCTTTTCTAATCCTTTCATGTGCAACAAAGGCAAGAGGTGTTTTGTTTCGACTCATAACAAAAAAGCACCATCTGAAGAACTTAATGATGAATATGTAAGCCCTTAAGGTCTTTGATCCTTGTTTCATAAATAAGACCATGTGGTTGTGAGTTATGCTTGGTAGTCTTTTTCAGTACTTTTATAAAGTCAAGTCATGGTTCAAAACATTTATTTTTCAACATGAAAGCAGCTCAAAGTTCTAGAAGTTGAACAAAGTCATTCTCTATGTTTCTGCAAATGATTACAAAACACACATTTATGAATTAGTATAATGTAAAGGGGGTATAACACTTTTTTTGTTTGTTTTTTGTTTTTTTAGGGTTTTGTTTTAGCTGTCTTTTCATCTTGTTTTGTTTTTCTTTTCATGCTGTTTTGTTTTGATTCGTTTCATTATGGTTTTGTTTTGATGCCGTTTTGTTTTTCTTTTCATGCTACATGTGCTTTGTCTAACAAAACAAAATCATCTTCCGTATGATAGAAAAAGGAGGGATGTTTTAGCAAGAAACACACTGTCCTTACTTATCTATATTTAAAAAAGCAGAATTGCACGGAGGATGCAGTGTGTTTGTCTGTGTGTGTGTGTGTGTGTAGGCAGGAAGGTTCTTAAGCTGTCCAGCTGTAACCTCACACCTTTCCCTCCTCTTCATGACATGTCAGCACATGGAGCCTGTGATGTTTCCATGTCTATCCTATCTTCACAACTAGCTAAATATGTCTGTGCTGAGTGATATTAGCGTGAGTTTGAAGGTTTCTATCCATGGTTCTTTAGTGCAAGCCTTTTGATCTCACCCAGCAGTCTTGAGTTTGATTTTATATATACATAATAATCATCTGCAAAAAGTAGTATCCAGTGATGTTTTTTTGTTTTATTTTATTGTGTTTTATAGAGTGTATAAAAGAGTTGTGTATTTAGAGTTCTTTTTTAGTTATTTATTGAAATTGGTTGTCTCTAAAATTTCATTTAGTAATTTAAATTATTTGTAATACTTTGTGTCAACTGCTGATAACATGGACATGGCTGATAACTTTGGAAAAACCTATATTTGTAGTATTTGGCACGAAACTGCCATTTCTCAGGTCAAAACAAGTTTTATATCCTCTTGAGTCAAGTATAAAGTACTTATTGCAGCCTCATGGGTCTTATAAAATCTAGTTTTTAGAATGTTCACATAGTATAACGCATTAACATTTTTACATTGAAGATATCAGTGCATTACATACATAGTGAATTACATTCTAAAGAAGGTCTGGGAACAATAAACAAAGGGGTCACTTTCTATTAAAACTGAGAAATTTTACTGGACGATGAATGTACATTCTTGTTAAATCTAAAGGTTTTTTTTTTTTTCAGGATATCAAAAATTCCCATATACGAGTCACATAAAATAGACTATTCTTTAGAGAGTCAGCTGTCTGTTTAATTGACACATTTTCCCTCTAAAGAAAAACTTTAGCTCACCAAAGATTAGGGCTGGATATCGTTAAAAAAAAATTCCACTGTATATCGATACCGGTACCTTGACTTCGATACCGGTTCCTGGATGATACTTTTTTTTAATACAAATTTTATGAAATCCGTTATAACAAGATTACATTAGCCTATATATTACCTAAAATAACTTTGGTTGTATTTTTCCGGGTTTTTTTTACAACATTTTTTTTTACAGACAGCACTCAAGTGCACGCATAAGCTTGCCGCAAAGCAGGCTGTCAGGAAAAAATAGCAAGGAGAAATTTTAATTGTTTATTAATAAACTTTTGACGTTTGACGTTGCTGACTCGTCATCTCTGCATTATAGTGAACGTGCTCGTATAGAGAGAAATGCACCTTTCATTTGGATTACATAATCAGAGCGTATTTGTTTTCAATTCGAATTGGTTTTCTTTAAAAGTAGACATTACAAGCTTTCTATAGGCCTATTTCTCATGTCTGTGAGGCTAGTAGCTTATACGGCGAGTTTCGGGTTCATTTGTGACACGCTCCAGTTTTTCTTTCAGTCGAAGATGGAGCAACTTTCTGCTCTTAAGTTTATTCCGTGCACTGTCAAGTGCTTCATCAGATTTGTCGTGTTGCTGGTCTTGGCAGCAGTTATCTTTTCGCAAATATTGCATCGCGCACTCTTCGAGCCGGGTGAAATGTAGCCACACTTTTGATCTTTTCCACATCTTTTCCATCTATAGGGGTTGGGACGCTTACACACTCCAGCCTCACGTGTGACCCACGTCGCTGGGCGTAACCGGTGTAAACTACTGTTTTTCCTTGATGCCTCGCCACAGCCAATCATGCCCTTACTGTAGGTTTAGAAATATGGAACCGAACGAAAAGACATTTTTTGATACTCGATGGTATCGAGGCAATTCGTTCGGTGCCTAAAAAGTATTGAACTCGATACCCAGCCCTATCAAATATATTACAGTATATACAGCCAAAAATAAAACTTTCTCACAGGATTTCACAACTAAAGTCAATACTCACTGCTTGATTTCCCATCACAGCTGTTGAACACTTTACACTAAGACTAATAAAGTGCTTTTTAACCTAGCCCGAGCCTGCTGCCCATCCCTGACCATTCACTTTTGCATTGTTCTTTGTAAAGTCCCTTCATATTCTTTTCCTTTCCTTCCACAGAAGAAAGTGGAGTGTCGCTGTTACAGTTAATTGGCGATCCTCCACCTGATGGCGTCTCCAAAGTCTTTGATAATGATAACAGCCCCGGCTATGTGTTCGGCCCAAGCTCCAATGTGGGACAGTCAGCTGCGGCCCACCTGCCCAACCCTTTCTACCGTGACTTCTCCCTCATCTTCAACATAAAGCCCACGTCCACCAAGCCTGGCGTCATCTTCTCCATCAGTGACCCAACCCAGAACATCATGTATGTTGGTGTGAAGCTGTCGGCAGTGGAGAGGGGCAAGCAGAATATTATCTTCTACTACACTGAGCCTGACTCGCAGAGTTCATACGAGGCGGCCAGATTCTCCGTGCCCTCCATGATGAACACCTGGACCCGGTTTTCCATCAGTGTTTTGAATGAGCAGGTTTCCCTCTACTTCAAATGTGACTCAGATCCTCAAGTCATCAATTTCGAGCGGTCCCCAGATGATATGGACCTGGATGGCGGGGCTGGAGTGTTTGTTGGCCATGCCAGTGGAGCAGACTCAGATAAGTTTTTGGTATGTACACAGCCCATACTTTAATATAATGGTATCCCAGTGAAAACAAGTCAAATTAAGGTTAACTTAGGCTAGAAAAAGGAAAAGTGCAATAAAATCGCTGTGGTTGAGTGACTCCTACATGATTTGATTGCTCAAATTGGCTCAAACAACATGCATTCTGTGGTTGTAAAAAAAGTCCACTCGTCTTTCCTTGTTTGAGTAGAGTAGTTAATTGCTTTAAGGAACCACAGGGGAGCAATTAGCTCCTGCTAGTTTTGTGTGGTAGTGTCCAGCAGCTGACCCCACAGCTTGATCTCAGATCAGTGAGAACCAGTGGACCGCTACCCTATTCTTTTTTCGCTATTCTTTATTTTATTTTATATCTATTTATGTTATATATATTATATATTTATATGTATTTTAAAATGTATTTTTATATTGAAAGCAATTTAATTTCCTATTTATTTATTTGTTATTTTTATGATTTTTATTAAATTATTATTCATTTAGTTTTAATTGTATTTATATATCAATTAATAAAAATATGACTTTTATTTATATATTCTATGTATTACTTATGTGTTTATTTATATTTATTTTAAAATGTTATATTTAGTGTACTTTCATTGGCTACATATTTATTTCTTTATTCCTGGATGATTTATGTTTAATATTGAGTTATTTAGAGGCATATTTGTCATGTTCCTAAATAAAAACTCAAGATACTTTTTTCTCTGGATCACAGGAAATATATGTTACGATTAGGGATGTAACGAATCGTCACACATTTTTATCGATTTTCAACCGGTTGCAAGTGAATCGTTACATCCCTAGTTACGATCTTGATAAAAATAGAGTTTTTATTGAAAACAGTACAAAGATAAGTGCCTCTAAATAACTTAATATTAAACATAAATCATCCTAGTATAAAGAAATAAATATGTAGCCAATTAAATTACATCAAAAAAATTTATTTTATATTATACTACTCATATAAGGCAGCAGATTCTTAACCAGTTGCTGATCTGTGAAGAAATGTGATTGAATATACTGCCTTGTGTTCTGCAGTTATGCTAGTGCTCTCAAGCATATTGTTCAATAACCATAGTGAGGCAACTGAGGCAGCAGGAATGCCTCATATTTCCCAGAGCTCATAATGTCCACTCAAAAGCAGATGGATCTTGTTCAGTTCAGTATGACTCCTTGTTTCATGTGGCTTCCATTTCCTGTGGGAACTCCACCATAAGTAGATGGCCATCATAATTACAGACCTGATTAGGCAGGATATGATTGCTATTCCATCCCTCTCATTAAGAGCATGTGCTTATCTGCAGAACTGTGGGGAAATCAGGTCTGTAAATCTGACCCTGTGTTGGGGCTGTAAGAGGGTCTCAGTGGAGGTCACAACGTGACACAAAAGGACAATTAAGACATCTTAAAGCTTCCTTCACTGCATTCTGCTCCTAAACCTTTGACCTTAGTTCGTGAGACATGAGAGGGGAAGTCCTGTCAGATCTTACCAGCAACTTAGCCAGAATTCCTATTACCTCAAATAAAGGGATCTTGAATGGAGATCAACTTAAAGAGATAGTTCATCTTCTTAGATACTTCTTTCTTTTGTAGACCACCAAAGGAAATATTAGGATGTTCATGCTGTTCTTGATGAACATAAATGGTTACCAGTCATGCTCCAAAAAATTACACAACCAAAGTACCTTAACAGTCGTCCATATACTATATTTCACATATTCTGGAGCCACATGATAGCTTTGTATTTGAAACAAACCAAAATTGAAGTCATTATAAATTTGCTACCTTGTTTATGAATAACGGCTTAAATGTTGCTCCTTCTCAAAGTTATCATACGGCTTCAGAAGACTTCAAATGGACTGCCTTTTATTGTGCTTTTTGTCATTTACGGAGCTTGACAGCTCTTGGACCCCATTCACTTTTTATTGTATGGAAAAGAGCAGCGTCAACATTCTGCTAAACACCTCTTTTTGTGTTGCACAAAAGAAAGTAAGTCAGAAAGGTTTGAAACAACATGAGAGTGATTAAACGATGGCTGAATTTTCATTTTTTTGATCAACTATCCATTTAATGAGACGTGTATGTTAGCCATTGAATGTAGGAATGTGTTGTTTTGGTGGATTGTATTGAATGTTATCCCCATCTGCGTTGAAATTGTGCCGCAAACTATAAAAGGGAAATCCCAGATGGAGACAGATAGCCATGTGTTTGAAAAGTAAGATATCAGGCACACATTGTTATCTGACTGCCAGCATTTCTGTCGTGGAAGGCATTAGCATGAAAAAGAGCAGTGGATTCAGTCTATAATGAGCAGCTGCCATTCAACATGGACTGTATGTCACCACACCTGCCATGACCATCAAAATAAGCTCACCAATCTGTGTTTGTGTATTCTAGGGTGTTATCGGTGATCTGAGGGTGGTGAGAGACCCTGGGGCGGCTGAGCGGCACTGTGAAGAAGATGAGGATGACTTCGATGCGGTAAGAACACAAGTTCTCTAACGAGAGCAAGTGCACTTTCACACCTGGCTCATTTGGAGCATTTGTTTTGGAACCTGATGCATTGTCTCCCTTAGTTTGGTTTGTTCAGGCATATGCAATCACACTCAGATCTGAACCAAGGTAATCGGTCAGAGATGGCTGAAATGAGGTGGTCCCGGTCTGATTGAAAATGAACTCTGGAGCAGTTCGGTTGTGGTGAGAAAGCAATCTGACCCAATGGACCAACAAACCAAGCTGTATCATAATTCATAGGGCCCTATCTTGCACCCAGCGCAATTGATTTTGTACACCGACGCATGTATCATTCCTATTTTTCACCTGACGCACAGCAGACTTTTCCCTCCACAGACGCACGTCGGTAAATTAGGGAATGAACTTGCTCTCCCGGGGGCGGTTCAACGAAAAGAGTTCCGGCGCAAACGTTCCCTGGTCCTATTATGCAGTTTCAGAAAACAATTCCGCCACAGACCAGGAAAAACCTATAGTCTAAAGTCAGTGGCGTGTTATTCAGATGTTATTTTAAGGGCACATGCTTGGCCATAATGTAGCGTGTGCACAACGCGCATACACTTTGCTTCTCTCATCTACACAGACGCAGCAGTTCTCATTTTTGCAAACCATACATAATTACAAGGAAAAATATTACCACACGAGGGAAATCATTGTGGTGACCATGAAGATGTGAAAAAATAGGCATAAATCTAGCTTACACATTTACCCAAATTATTATACGCCTGTTTAACCAGAGCTAATTTGGGTGGGTTTCTCCCATCCCCATACAATGTCACTTCTCTGTCTTTTACGGCCCTGATGAGAACGTCTGTCTCCTCGGCTGTGAGCCGCTCCTGGCGTGCGCCTGCCAAATCCGCCATTATAATAGCAATCCGCCATGGAACAAGCGTGCCTGCTTTTAAAGGGAATGTGAGAAGACGCTCTGATTGGTTTATTGCACGTTACGCCCAAACCACACCTATGAGTAATGTAGCTACTTCAGACCAACCCATTTTAGATTTGCGTCGGGCGCAAGAGTCATTTATCCCGCCGGTATAATAGCAACAGCGACCGAGATCCGCCCACAAAGTTACTTGCATGCGTTTCGCGTTTGATACTTGCGTTTCGTTAAAATAGGGCCCATAATGGGAAATGTTTTATGTAAAAAGTAGCAGTGTATGATTTTGTGGGTGTTAACATCACAACATTTATTTCCATCAAGAGAAATAAGATCTTGTATTGACACTGCAAGAGTCAAGCACTCTGTACAGTCTAGTCCAGCACATCCCAAAGACTTTCAATGAATTTAAGGTCTGGACTCAGAGGTGCCAATTCATATGTGAAAATGATTCTTCTTGCTCCCTCCCGAGTCCCAACCCACACCATGGCCATATTCCTGGCTGACAATGTCAAGATTCTTCATGCTCCATCCCAACTATTCTTTCACAATTTGAGCCTGATGAATCTTGGCTTTGTCATCCTGGAATATGGCCATGATGTGTCTTCCTACATGGTTGTTTAAGAAATGGAAAGCTACACACTCCATCAGTTTGGGTTAGAAGAACTGTTGCCAAATATATAACATGCTAGAAACATAATCATCTGTGCAATAATGATCCAATCATAGACTTTTATACATTTCATTAGCCTATTTAAATATTTTTTGGCTGGGCTGTGTATATATATATATATATATAGGGGAAATGACAGCTACATTCATATTCATATTTGTGTGTGTAACAACAGCTATATGGAGGACCAGGTCTACCATATTTAAAAATAAATACAGAAATAAATAAATGCTCAATAAATAAATAAGCATACAATTAATTGCCCCAAAAAATACAATAAACAAAGAAATGTAGGTAGAAATTAAATTATACAGTGAGACATAAATGTATATATCTCTTAATTAGCTTCTTTATTTATTCACCTTTGTAATAATTTATTTATTTATGTGCATGTTATAATATTTTTGTCTGTTTTATTCTTCCTTTGTATTTTTTTACCCTATTTATTTCTTCAATGCTATTTATTTCTGCCTGTCGTTTTTACATTTCTGTATGCATTTCTGCCTCATTATGCAAATGAGGAGGGGCTGTGTCTTAGGGGGTCAACTTCTGCCCATTGGTTGGTTAGCATTTTACTGCATCGGTCGAATCTACATGCCACCGGCCACAGTCACAACAAAGATGGCTACCTACGATGAAGTTGTCAGTGAGCTGAGGCATTTAGCAACTGTTCAATGTTCAAAGGACCACAAAAAAACATTTCAGATCTCAAACTTACAGCGTTCTAATTCTTCCAGTCTATTAGCAGCTTCCCTTAAGAGGTCGGACACTGAACGTCTGCCTGCTGAGTTTGACATTACTAAACAATGCTTCTTCTTCTTCTTCTTCTTTGGATTTTTACGGCAGCTGGCATCCAATGAGTTGCATTACTGCCACTAAACAATGCTTTATGGCGGGGAAAAGCCATGTAGATTCGACCGATGCAGTAAAATGCTAACCAACCAATGGGCAGAAGTTGACCCCTTAAGACACAGCCCCTCCTCATTTGCATAATGAGGCAGATATGCATACAGAAATGTAAAAACGACAGGCAGAAATAAATAGCATTGAAGAAATAAATAGGGTAAAAAAATACAAAGGAAGAATAAAACAGACAAAAATATTATAACATGCACATAAATAAATACTTTAAAAAGTAAGTAATTAATAAATAAAGTTGAAGATTATAACGGACAATAAATAAATAAGGTAATTATTACAAAGATGAATAAATAAAGAAGCTAATTAAAAGAGATATATACATTTATGTCTCACTGTATAATTTAATTTCTACCTACATTTCTTTGTTTATTGTATTTTTTGGGGCAATTAATTGTATGCTTATTTATTTATTGAGCATTTATTTATTTCTGTATTTATTTTTAAATATGGTAGAGCTGGTCCTCCATACAGCTACAGATAACGCTACAATAAGCTCAAGGACCTAACTTGTCAGACCATTTAGATGGATGATGGAACATAAACAGGTGTACTCTGACTAATGAGAAGTCAGTTTACTAATGTGACATGCATAAACACATTTTTGTATGCTTTGAAATGCTGCCATGTGAAAGTAAACAAAACCAAGAAACACCAAGAAAATGTTTAAAATTGTTAGACCCTGTTTAAGCAAATGATCTACAGGTCTGAAAACGCCCATAGTGAAATAATAATTTTCACTTGTGTCATCCCTCAATTATGTCTCAGCTAATTGGGAATGGGAAATAGCTACATAAATGCTTCACATTATAGCTACACAAACACACTATATTAAGTTGAGCGGTTCTAAAATGGGTGATTAAACCAACGAATAGCTAATGCAGTGAGGTGAGAAGCACTGAAATTGTTCTCTTGGACATAAAAAAGCAAGGTCTTTAAATAACCGCATACTCAAACAAGTGGATTGTCTTTTTAAAAAAGGAAAGCTTGGTGTATGCGTGTTCGGTTTTTATTGCTCACCCAGTTATTGTGTAGTATTTTTTTAAATGAGACCAGAGTGAAAGGAATAGATCACCTGGTGCACAGTGTTCCTCAGGTGACTCATCTTAGATTTGATGCGGCATTACTTTACATTTATATTTATTCATTTGGCAGATGCTTGTATCCAAAGTGACTGACAGTGCATTTAAGCTATACATTTCATCAGCTCTTTGCTTCCTGGGAATTGAACCAAAGCCCTACCAAATTAGCTAAATTTACATTAAACACAATTAAAGCTTTGTGGAATAAAAAAAAAAAACTTAAAGGAATAGTTTATCCCAAAATTAAAATGTTGTCATCATGTACTCACCCCATGTTTTTGACAACCCCGTATTATTTTATTTCTTCTTTGAAACACAAAACAAGATGTGGAGACAGAATGTCTGAGATCTTTTCCAGACGACACAATTTCATTTATACTGCTAAGCAAAAAAAACGTCATAAAATCATCACAAAAGTTTTTTCATGTGACTTGTGGCCTATATTTCAAGTCTTCTGAAGCCAAATGATAGCTTAACTGTACTGTATGTGAGGAACACATCACAAACGTAAGAATCAATTATGTTTTGTGTCAAGTATGTTAAACCTGGCGCAAAGCATCAAAAGGGGCAATTTTTGACTTTCACACAAGTCTAAAAGAGATTTAAGAGCTCAGGCAGGGAGGAAGATTATTGGACATTATGCTTAATATCTCTTTTGGTGTTTTTATATTATTTTTATTTTTGTTCTTTTTGTCCCATATTGTTTTTGTTCTTCCATGAATGACATGAGGGTGAGTAACTGTTCCTTTAAAGGAGTACCTGGAGTGTTTGTCGACTGATTGCTGTCTATCTGCGGCTGATAGTGCTTGGAATTCACTTCCATTCATTTTCAAGAAAAGAATGTGTTGCCTCAAGTTAGGTTTTCCACAGGATAAAGCTTTAATGCCTATCAGTTTGACCTATGACGTACTACATGCCCTCCAGCTGTCTAGAAAACAGTGTGATGAAATGACCCTTTCTCATTGTTACCACTCTAAGAGAATTTATGCAGTTTTCCTTTCAACCCTCAGAATCTTCAGGGATCAGGTGATTATGGAGCAAGTGGAGATGGAGACAGACCACCATCAGTCCAGGTATTTCCTTGTTATGCTTTGTTTGGTAACCATTTGAAGCCAAGCTCACATTTGTAAACTTGTTGTGATCGATTTAATGTCCACATTTAAAACATCTAATGACGATCCTGAGGCTATTTACAGAGCAGCGGCCTGTGAGTTCTGACAGGTCTGTCGTTGTACACTTGCTCATCTTCTGGGGGAAAGTCCCGGATGAAAGCTATTATCTCCAGACCAATCCCAGATGTTAAAGCCCATCTTCCCATGCCTTGTGTTACTAATCCAGAAATAGACCATGTGGAAATTGAAATGAACCCTTGCTACTGATGTGCGAGGCCCTGTCTGAGCATGCCAGAGCTAATTACAATGGAAAGAAACCAGGTGGCTCTTAGGTGTGGACTGCAAGGATTGTCTTCCATAAGAGTGCTTTTTGTTTGACTGGTTTATTCATCAGTGCTAATTGTGTAGTGCAATTTGAGAACATTTAGGCCATTTTTTGTGTTTGAATTGAGTATATTGTACTAGTTTGGAGGTTGCTGTTTCTTTCCTTTCACTTACAAGTATTTATATTTGTTTTAACATTTTTGAAACAGCTGCTTCTTACCTTGTAAATTTAAATTACATGGCTTTTGTTTGCCTTACAGTATCCAATGCATTTTAACATGCTGTGACAGAAACAGAAGTGCTGTAAAGTAAATTTTCCTTTATCTTACCGTGGAATCCATTTTAAAGGATGCCACATTCCCCCCTGGGACATTTTCCACGCTTGTTTCACAGTCAATCCAACCCTGCTTGGATGTTAGAAAGTGCATTTGAGGAGAGGGCACCTGGTGGACATGCATTTTTGCAAACTGTGTTGCATGACAGCCTCTTGTGTAGGCCTAATTTTTTGTAATCCAATTTCATGAGATTATTATATCTAGTGGAAGAGAAGGAGTCTTGTGAGAGTGGAAAACAGTTTGACTTCATTACACTTTTTCTATGAAAAAGAAAATTGAATTTTAGCATGTCTTATGCATGCGTGTCATATTTTATTAGTCTATTTTTATTTCAATCTGTTCTCAAAATCATTAAGGATACCTAGAGGAGGCTATGGTCCAAAAGTCTGGGACGACAAAGGATATTGCATTTAAATTTAGGAGATTGGTAAATGACTTTATTTAGTCATTACTAATTATAATGCAAATTATAATATAGAAAATAAAGATTTGAGGGAAAACTTGAAGAGTGAACAGAATTAAATATAGAATTTAAACTTTAGAATTACAATATTACAGTGTGTGTGTGTATATATATATATATATAGGGGGGGCTTATATATATATATATATACATATATATATATTATATATATATATATATATAATTAATTATCCATAATTATGTCAATTCTATGCCATTAATATGATTATTTTTATATATAATATGATTTGTTTGATATTTTGTATTTTCACTTTCAATACACAAATTAATTTAAATGTACCAAATTTGACATTAAAAACAATTTAATTTGACATTAAAAGTAAGGGTTTTCAGAAATTATTTGACATGTTTAGAATATTTGTATTTTCCCCACATTATAAATGGGTCTTTAGAATTTAAAATATCATCATATTTTGTGGAATCAAATAGTTTGAAGACCTCAGATCTAGACTCCTATAACAAGTTTGCTGAAGTATTCCAGCCCTATAACATATCCAGAAGAATCCAGTACATTCTAAATTGCTCTCCTGGAAGACCATGATGCAAAAAACACATGCCAGCAAAGAATGGCCCCTTTTTTAATGCACAAGGAAATATCCTTCTGTGCCGTATGATCTCCTCCATATCCTCAACTCCTCCAGCATAACTCAGTGTAATGTGTTCAAGGTCAGATTCTCCCATCTCCGCAGCAGTGACCGTGATGGCAGATGTTTAGCAGCCCCTCCTCATCTAGCCGGACAGCCCCCTAACTGCCCACTCCTGACCTCTATCTTTAGACCCCGGGACCCGTGGCCTGCATTCCCCAAGACGGTCGTTCTCTTGGTCCAAAAATACACGCTGTCAGCATCCTCTCACACTGGCCATCAGAGCACTCCGTGTCCTCTCAGTCTCCTTTTTCTCAATCCCGGCGTGAAATCTGAGGATCAGAGTGTTCTAGAACCTGATGCCTGGTATTTCATCAGTGGGTTCTGCCGTTTCAGCAGCACGTGTTTTGTAAAGTGCAAGGTCAGGCCCTCTTTGTGTCTGCGCTTCAAACGGCCAGCCCTGGCAGCTTTTCTTCAAGGAGCTTTGTTAACTGTGAGCTGTATGTCTGAATCTCCCTCCCAGTTGGTTGAACGCGGTGTGTGAGTATACGAATATCTGTGCAGTCAGTGTCACGGTTCTTTGCTTTGCCATATCAAGTGCCGTCTAGTGTTTTAAGATGGTCATCATGGTTGTATTTGTCACATTGTTTGTACATAATCAGTGAAAGGAAATTAAACTGTCGGAACAGGTATGAAAGGAATAAGCGGTGATGCACTTATTAATATTGTTTAAAGAACCCAAGAAATCATAATTAGATTTTTATGGCATTTAGTCTTTAAGGAAATGTATACTCTAGTTTTCCCCTAAACAGAGAAAAGTAGAAATATCTAAATGTCCTTAAAACAAGATAAATTCACCTGAGAAACAAATCTGCTAGACACATTAAGTCTTTTTGGAGTCAGAAAGATACTTTTTTTTTTAAAGTTAATACTTTTATTAAGCAAGGATGCATTAAATTGGTCAAAAGTGACAGTGAAGACAGTTGTAATGTTACAGATGATTTCTATTTGAAATATTTCCTATTCTTTTGGAATTTCTATTTGTCAAAGAATCCTGAAAAGAGTACTAGTTTCCACACATCTGTTTTCAACATTGATAACAATGTGATTTTTTTTTTCTTGCGCAATAAATCAGCATATTAGCATGATATCTGAATTCTGATCATGTGACTGGAGTAATGATGCTGAAACTTCAGCTTTTCCCTCAGGAATAAATTACATTATAAAACATTAAAATAGTACAATTTGAAATTGTAAAAATATTTCACAATATTACTGTTTTTGCTGTATTTTGGATCAAATAAATGCAGCCTTAGTGAGCATTTCTTTCAAAAACATTGACCCCAAACTTTTGAACACTAGTTTCTCTTTATGTAAGTGTATTTTGTCTTGTAACTGGCAGATTTTTTCCACTTTTGTGTGCTTAAAGACAAAATACACTTATTTACAAGATAAATTATTTGAAAACAAGCAATAATATCTCATGTTTACAACAGTTTTGCCGATTTGTCTTGTTTTAAGGATGCTTAGACTTTTTTACTTGGGAAAACAAGAAAAGGCGCTCTTTAAGAATGTGAATTTTTATCAATGTACAGTACATGCTGTTATTTCTGTTCATTGCATTTCAATGTTGATTGACTGTCTGATTTGCAGTTTATTTATGTTAATTGATATATTAATGATGCGTATCACTTTCAGCCGACACCTCCCTCCTCTCGGCCGATCCAGCAGCCACCGGTGACCAGCAGAAAGACAGTTGAGAAGCAGCAGACAGGTGAGCTTTGTCTGTTCAGTGTCAGGTCTGAACTGGTCTGTCTATAAAGCATCATCTAGTCTGACAGTACAGCTCATCAGTAGCATTTATTGCTCTGTTGAACTCTTAAGTGGCTCTTTTTCTTCTTGTAAACTTGGAGTAATGCATTTTTGTGCTTTTGTTGGTTAATTTACAACTTTCCTTTTGTTGATACAGTTATTTTGTTTATGAAAGAAAACATTTGGGCTGCATACTTAGCTTAGACATCAGACAATGCTTAAGTCTAGTCCCATATGCGTGTTTGAGCTGTTTTAACTGAAAGCAATTAGCAGCACTGAAATATCTTAAAATATATCAGTGCCATTGTTTTGTCTCAAGATTCGCGTCACGTTTATAAAAGATACTTAAATGTCCTAATTGCACTAAGGCCTAATCCCGGCTTAATCTAAACCCTGTCTGTGAAACCAGGCCAAAGTGTTGCAACCAGCAAGTTCAGTTTGTTAATCACCCATCTTACTCAAAGTACACTTTCCCCAACTGGTCAACCAGGTCTAAGCTAGTGTTTTTAGCAGGGTATTGAAGACAAGGAGATTTAAAATGTATTTGAGGTTTAATTTTAGTATTAATCATGAAATTGTGTGCGTTTATGGAAGGAGCCACTGTGGTATTTGGCTCCCTCTATTGGTGTAAAGCAAGGAGAAAATGTCTTTTTACATTTAATTGCAAAAGTATTCTTAAGAGGTGTGTTATTCTGATTTTATAATAGACGGCCTAAACCCAAGGATGGATTATGGCCAATGCCAATGGGGCAATAATGCAGTTTTGATGTGTACAAATCTACATTTGTCATTGTTGAAAAATGTAATTGTGACTTTTTAAGTTGTTATTTTACTTCTTATATTTGTAAAAATTGATATTTGTATAAATTAATATTGTCAAAAAAATCTCACATTTATACAAAGTTAAATTTATGAAAAGCTGAAGTTTTTAGATATAAAGTCACAATTATGAGAGATACAGGTTTTATATCACAATTACAGAATGTCACGTAATTCAATAATACAAAGTCACATAATAATAATATTATTATTATTATTATTATTATTATATATATTTTTAGATATATATTTAAAATAAGATTTGGGGGTTGTTTTTACTACCTGTGACATGGTGTGTGGGCAACAAGGGAGGCTGGTGCCCAATGGCCTTGTAGTCTGATTAACCATAATCCATTCTTACTTGCTTCAAACATCATCTACATTACTTTTAAAATGGTTTGCTATATGATCTCTCTCATAATGAGCTGAATTGGGAAGTTTTAATGAACATTAGGATCAGCCGATTCCTCTCGACAAACTTCTGGCTCCTACGGCGGCTCTCGAAAAACATCTGGTTCATATGGGGATTCCCGAAAAACTCCGGTCTCCTATGGTGATTCTCAACAAACATCTGGCTCATATGGTGATTCTGAACGAACTTCTGGTTCATATGGTGATTCCCAACGAAGCCCTGGCTCACATAGTGGTTCTCGACAATCATCGGGCACGTATGGTGGTTCTCGACAAACTCTTGACTCGGATGATGTTAGCAAGCAAACTTCGGGGTCGTATGAGGATTCTAGAAAAGCTTCGAACTCTGTTGACTACTCTCTAAGAACGTCGGGCTCAGCTGATGATGGGATACGGTATTCTGTGGAGTCCTCTGCAGGTCCAACAGGTAATAAAAAGATGAAAATCTCTCAAATGGACATGGGACATTCTGGATAGAAATTCTCAGCAGAATTTCTACATGATGCTTTGCATGAAATACTGGCAAAAAGCTGTGGATGCCCAACAAGGACTGCAGCACCCCGGGTGCAAGTGATAGTGTTGCTGCATATGTATGTTGTTTATTGCACATATGTATGTTTGTTGTTTAATGCTAGCATAATTGATATATGGCATTTGTATTGACAGATTGCATATTCAGCTGCTTATAGAAGCTTCTGCTTGTTGGCATATTCTTGAATATGTGGAGTTTGGCCCATCGTCCTTGTCTATTGTCATGTTTTATTTTTATTTTATACAACTAGATTATTTTTGGTTGAAAATCACAAAAACATGTCCAGGTCATGTTTCACAACAAATAAATTATATATAAAAAAGACAAAAGCCTTTTTAGGACTATTTAGATATTCTACATTCTGACATTATTTTTATCATTAAGCACATTTCCCCCTAAATTTCTTATTGCCATAATGTTTGTATGTATGATTTACTTTTACTGTAATAAGTCTTATTTTTATATTTCAGCGTGAAATAAATGCCACACACCAAATACTAGTATGATGTATACGTACTTAACCATTTAAATATGTAATTATTTTTTAGCATTAAGCATTTTGGTAATGAAAATTAACATGAAAACTTGTGTATATCACAGTTAATCTTAATGATCTTAGAATAGGCTTTATTTTCTTAATGCAAAATATGATTTCTTACTTATATTTTGGAGTAAGATTTAAGGGATAGTTCACCCAAAAAGAAAAATTGTGTCATTAATTACTCACCCTCATGTCGTTCCAAACCCGTAAGACTTTCGTTCATCTTCGGAAACACAAATGATCTTTTTGATGAAATCTGAGAGCTTTCTGTCTCTCCATTGACAGCTACATATAAACATTGATTAGCGAACATAAACAGAAGCTCAAACGTGCTGCGTAACACGAGAATGAACCTCATTGGTTCTTGCAGAAGCTCAAACACGCTGCGTAATACAATAATGAACCTCATTGGTTCCCGCATGTCAAGCGAACGTGCTTGAGCTTCCGTTTACCATAACTGATGTGTGAGTTGATGAATGTTTATATGTGAATAAAAGCCCAAATTCAATCTTCTTCAGAAAATTTGGACTAAACCGTTCAATTCATTTCAATAGTTTTACGATCTCTTTATGAACTTTTTGAAGCGTCAAAGTGGTAGATGTGTAGCTGTCAACGGAGGGACAGAAAGCTCTCAGATTTCATCAAAAAGATCTTCATAGTGTTGCGAAAGATGAATGAAAGTCTTATGGGTTTGGAATGACATGAGGGTGAGTAATTAATGACAGAATTTTCATTTCTGGATGAGCTCTAACTTTAATGCACGATTTTTATATTAATAAAGTCATTTTCAAATGTACAGGTTCTGTTGGTGCAAGAGCAGAGAAAGGAGAAAGAGGAGAGAAGGGTTCCAAAGGTGACAGGGGCCTTACGGGGCCAAAAGGCGATTCAGGATCTGCGTCTGGTGGCGGTGCAAAAGGAGAGCAGGTCTGTTGAGTAGTGTGAACCTCACTGAGTGTTTCTGAACATCTCAGTGTCAATTTAAAGTAATAAGAAGGAATATCTATCTATCTATCTATCTATCTATCTATCTATCTATCTATCTATCTATCTATCTATCTATCTATCTATCTATCTATCTATCTATCTATCTATCTATCTATCTATCTATCTATCTATCTATCTATCTATCTATCTAATCATCTATCTTACGTTCAGTACGTTCTATTGTGTGTGATATAGTGCACCTTTCTTTAGTTGAATTGTTACTTTGTTGTGTCCTTCAAAATTCTCAGTAATGTGTGAAGTCATTGATGGGGAGCTTGAATGTTCAGCCATCTGTTAGAGTGGTGCGAGTGGCAGACAGGTCAATCATTTTTGTCTTGTGTTTTCACAGGGTGTCGTAGGAGAGAAAGGAATGAAGGTTTGTTGCGATGCTTATACCTAGACATGACTGAGACAATGTGAATTAAAGGAATAGTTTGTGCCAAAATCACAAAATTAGATAATGAGCAATGTTATTTTGTGTTTCATGAAATTACTTTCTACAAAATTATCATTTTTGGGCTGAATTATACCTTTAAGCATCTCTCTTTAATGCTTTTTTTTTACAGACATTTATGTAGATTTTCTCACAGTAAGGCACACCCATGCTCAAATCTCTGTTACCTTTTGGTTTCAGGGCAATCCTGGTTTTGGTTATCCTGGATCAAAGGGTGACCGTGGTCCCGCTGGGCCTCCAGGGCCTCCCGGTCCCCCCGGGCCCAGTGCAGAGGTAGAGGTGAGAGGAGATGGGTCAGTTCTTCAAAAAGTGGCAGGACCGAGAGGACCACCTGGACCTGCAGGACCCGCTGGCCCTGCTGGAACTGATGGGGAGCCGGTGAGTAGCTCACAGAGAAAGGAATGGTTCAATAACTGCCTCTGTTTTCTATTAGCGAATGCATTTACATTTAAAAGGAACAGCGTTAGACCATTTTCAAGCCGCATATGTCAGAAGTGGTCTTGTGTTTGCCGTTGATGTGTTAGCACAGTAATAGATCCCTATGGTGTTCCCCATCACAAGCAGAGAATGATGTTAATACAGGTTTAAGATATGCATCATTGCAAACACAAAGGCACATTGTGTTTTTGTCCTTGAGACTATGCATAATGCATTGGGCATTGGTCATATCTGAACAAAACTAATATTCTATCCTCTCTTTTATAGGGTGACCCTGGTGAAGATGGAAAAGCTGTAAGTAATGCATTTCATAAACTCTCTTATAAAACAGCCCTGGGTCAAGTACATTTCTCAGTATATCTGAATGACATTATTCTTCTGAAATTATACCTGCTAGTGTATACTATACTTGTTGGCGGGAACAGTTTGTTTTCACTGTACAAAACGGGAAGTCAAGTCTGATTGTTTTGTTGATTTTGTGTATTTGTGTTTGCATTCTTACGTTTCAAGTACAAATGATTAAAGATACATTTTTGTAACAGGGTCAAGGTGGACCTCCCGGTTTTCCTGGGACTCCTGGAATCAAAGGAGACAAAGTAAGTATTTTTGGTGTCATAATAATTGTTGGTGTCATAATAATTGTGTCAATGATAATTGACGGTATCAGTGTCTTGTTCACCATTTAGAATTGAATTGCGAATGCCTCCATTTCAGTTGTTTGACATTTTTTCTACATTTTTTATTTTAGGGAGACCGAGGTGAAAGTCAGCCAGGACCCCGTGGGCCTCCAGGGCCTCCTGGCCCACCAGGACCCCTCTCTCGCTCTGATAGGCCTGTGAGTTCATTATTAGTCATTTGTTTTTATGATCCCTTTCTTATTGAAAAACTGATTTATAAAAATGTTTCATTTTTCAGACATTTGTGGACATGGAGGGCTCTGGATTTGATATGGACAGTGTGCGAGTACGTCCTGTGGACATTATATTAACTTACAGTATAGTATTAATTCAGATCTCATGCTGAACAAGTATACAAAGGAACCCCATTGTTGATATTCCTTGATTTCACGTCATGTACACTACTGTTCAAAAGTTTGGATTTATTTGATCAAAAATATTATGAAATATTATTACAATGTAAAATAACTGTTTTCTATTTGAATATATTTGAAAATGTCATTTATTCCTGTGATCATAAAGCTGAATTTTCAGAACCGTTACTCCAGTCTTCAGTGTCACATGATCCTTCAGAAATCATTCTGATATGCTGATTTGGTGCTCAAGAAACCATTTCCTATTATAGATATGAAAACCATTCTGATGCTTAAAATTTTTGTGGAAATCATGTTACTTTTGATCAACTTAACTCATCCTTGCGAAAAAACTGTATTCATTTCTTTCAAAAAATCTTAATGACCACTAACATTTGAACAGTTGTGTACATCACAAGAGTGCAACAGTGCAGACTTTGGATGTCAGGAAGCAGAATGTAGTGAATTTTATTAACACTTTACTTTTTCACTTTGTAACTTAATATTGGTTGATAGGCAATGCCCGGTTTGCCTGGCCTACCTGGTCCTCCTGGTCCCCCCGGCCCCCCTGGCCTTGCGTCTTCAGGCTCTGGTGGGTTTGGGCCTCCTGGTCCTCCTGGGCAAAATGGAGCTCCAGGTCAACCGGTAAGTCTAAGAAGACATGATACACGTCACATGTATAACACTGGTTTGAATATGTTGTGTCGGAATACAGTGTTTATGAGTCAGAGACGTGGCCTTTTGTGTGTTCTCTGATGCATTGCATAGTGTGTAGTCCCCCCTGTCGTTTAATGTCATAATAAGCATATCAAATAATTGTTAAAAATTATATTGTTTTTAATAGGGACTTCCAGGTCCACCAGGTTCTGATGGAAAACCAGGCTCACCTGGTTCAAGAGGAGAGAAGGTATGAAGTAGTGGATTGAAACTTCAGAACTCCAACCTCTTCCAGGAAAACCTAAAACATAACAGGGAATTTCATTTTATAGGTCTGGAAAAGTCTTAGAAATGTATCAAATCTTACAAAGTTTCTCTAAAATATTTTGTTTGTTCAGAGTAAAAATGCTCATAGGCCAAAGTGATGACATCAGTTTGTTTATTGGTCTTACTGGAGACATTTGTAAACTGTGTATATTTAATGAATTCACTTGACGTCAGGGCTATCTGTAGAATTACAAAGTCCAGCCTGACAAAATATTTATGGCTGGGCTCAATGAGTAGCCAATAACATAGAGTAGAGGACCTTGGTTGGATCATCACAGTCTGACATACAAATGTAAATCCACCTAGGCAATATCTATAAAATGATTTCTAAAACAGCAATATGCTATAATCACGAACGACTGGAAAGGTGATGGAAAAGTCATGACAATCCATTGGTAAAAAGTGTGGGAACCCTGTCTATATATAGAGAGCTATGCGGGACATTTAATGGATTTGGACTTGCATAATTCAGCTCTGTTGAGATCCCTGTAATGGTAGCTATCTTTAGACGCTGGACTGATTTTGTGCTCCACAGGGTGATGCCGGTGAGCTGGGCCTACCTGGACCTGTGGGAGAGAAGGTCAGTTTGCGTAATGTAGTGAGAAACCGTTGTGCACTCTATGCTCATATTCATATATCACATATCTGTTGTGTACAGCTGAACAAACTGTGAAACTCTGTATGACTGAGAATTAAATAAGAGTCAAACATAATGTTCTACCCAGGAGTGACAGCAAGATCCAGGGAGAAGTTTGTCTCCACAATAGCAATCACTAAACATGTCTGATGTATAGTTATGTGGAGTACGATTTTGTGCCAGTGAGTTTTAACTGTCAGCATCAGAAACCTATAGAACTAAAAAATCTCTGTAGGGCTTATTTTTATTCAAAACATTTTTTATTCAGATCTTTTTTTCCAGGCCTTTGCTACTTTTCAGGTATCTACATATTTTTTTTTATTTTTTATTTTTTTAGACTCCTTTTCCCAGATGCAGCCTTTCAGTCTTAAAATATGAATATCCATTATAAAATATTATAATATTGAATTATAATTAATTCTCAATAAAATACTAAATATAAAAAAAATATTAAAAATACTTTACAAATAGGATAATCCAAACAAAGTGAAAGTGATTTCTCTATGTATTTTTATGAAAATTATTTGTACCAACAATTCTTTCCATAACGTTTTATTAAAAGTCTGTTTACTTGGTTATAATGCAAGCAAAATTGTCAGTGAAGAGCATATTTGCGCTGAAAGTTAAACGTTAAGAGTCAAATTTTGTTGTAATTTTGCCAAATTCTCAAAAAACACTGTAAAGATACATAAAAAGGAGTCCAAAAAATTCCATAACTGTCATTTCGACCAAAAAATGCTCTCAAACACAATGCATATTTCGAAATGTAGTGGAAATGGATGTTCATGATCAAAAATGCCCATTGTTGAAGAAAAATGTAAGAATAATGTTGCATTATTGTGTCACGCCTAGTTAGGAAATGGTGTTGTGTGGAAAGCTGTTTCAGAAAACATATTTTTCTGAAATAGTCAAACCCCCTCAGGATTCTTTTATGTTTCTGTCTCTGTAGCAAAACTCCTACTTTCCCAGCTATCTCTATGATCTTCTTTCCTACTATACCTCATCCTTCTCCTTTAAAGCTGCAGGGTGGCAGGTAGCAAGTCTTGAGTGTGGCAATCGATTTTCTTCACAGACATCTCAACTTTCTACACTACAGTTCTAATGCTTGAAATATAGCATCATTATTATACTGATGGTAGTGTGGACTTTTTGTGGCATTGCTTTGTAGATGCGTTGTGTGAATGTGTTTTCTGCAAACTAACATATTTTGCTCCTGCCTGGAATCTTGGTATCTTGCAAGCTAACTGCATGCGTTGTTTTATTCATCTTACTCGTTGTCTTTAAAGGGCGCCACAGGTTCTGCCGGTTCCCCTGGCCTCCCTGGGCAGGGTGGGCTTGCTGGTCTTCCAGGACCAATGGGACCCGTCGGACAACCTGGGCCACCTGGTCCTCCTGGCCCAAGATATCATGTTGGATTTGTAAGTATTAGTCAATCATCCTTTGTGCTTCACTGTCTTTTAGGAAACCCATCAAATATTGTGTTCTCTGTATATGTGTTCAGGATGATATGGAGGGCTCTGGTATTCACTTCAGTTCAGTCCCTGGGGTAAGAGGACCAGTTGGAATTCAGGTACATTTTTCTCTGTTGTACCTTTATTGGTTCTTATCTACCCTTGTTGGTTTTTAGAAGTTAATTTACTGCAAAAACCGATTTCATTTCAGGGACCTCCTGGTATCCCAGGACCACAAGTAAGACTATTTATTCATTCAAATGAGATTTATTTTATATCCCAAAGATATCATTTTCAGTTGGGGATTGTGCCATTTATTCATATCTTGTTCCTCAGGGTAAGACTGGCCTCCCAGGATATCCTGGTGAGAAAGGCAGTGAAGGACTTCAGGGACAAGATGGCCGCCCTGGTTTGGATGGCTTCCCTGGACCACAGGTGCGTTTCATTTGAATAAATCTCTTGTGTAAATGTACTAAATAGCCAGTCTGGCGTCCAGTACTTCAGGCTGATATCAGTGTTTTGCATTTGCCTGCAGGGACCAAAGGGCGACAGGGGAGACAGAGGCGAGAGGGTGAGTTTACTTCTGTCTGAAGTGAATCAATGTAATATCTAGGACAAATTTAGCAAAAATCAAAATTGCACATCATTTACTTTATCATTGTTAAACCACGTGATCATCTGCTTAGGGTGAACCTGGACGAGATGGAACTAGTCTTCCAGGTCCACCCGGCCCCCCTGGACAACCTGGACAAATTATTTATCGTTATTCTGAAAATGTAAGTGTTCAAATTTATATTGCCTTTTTTGTTTGCCGGAAATAGTTCATGTTTTTATTAAGCTGTTTGTCATTTTTCTGTACAGTATGATGAAACTGGAGGAGCAGGGCCTCAGGTATGAAAGTCCTGCCTCTAATAGTCCCTTGCTACTACATTAGGATACCAGAAATTGTTTTGTGGACATTCAAAAACAGACTCATAACATACAATTTTCCAATATCTAATATGTATCGTTTGTGTGGTTTTCAGGGTGGGACTGGTGTTCCTGGTCAAGCAGGATTCCCAGTAAGCACTAAATAACTTAATTTGTTCATCTCCCTTCCTTTTTTGATCCCTTTAGACATTCATACATATTAGAAGTAATTAATAAAGCCTCAAGACAAGAGAGGCTGTTGCAGTGGTTTTCACTCTGGGTAAACAGTTTATTTGATATGATGCAAAGCAGCCCTTAACTATTGTAATGTTTAATTCATAGTTAGTTCAGTTAATTTTCTATTAAAATGTAATAAAACAAATATTATAATCTATTTTAACAGTAAGGGTAGACTGTTCACGGCTTCCAAGCAGCATTGCAATTTGGCGCATTAATAATATAGACTTGAGTGCATTTATCTTACACACTGTCTCTTTATCCAATCAGGGCCCAATGGGACCGAAAGGTGATAGAGGAGAACCTGGTTCACCGGGCTATGCCATTAAGGTTTGTGAGCAGATATCAACACACAAAGCTTAATATGAAGTGTTTAAAAACCTCAACGGCTCACTGCTGCAACCTTACTTTGTTTGCAGGGAGAAAAAGGAGAACCTGGACTTATTCTTGGACCTGATGGAAACCCACATTACCTTGGTGGATTGGCAGGCCAAAAGGTATTTTATTTTATTTTATTTATTCATTTATTTTATAACCATATTTGTGTTAATTCATAGTTTTGATGACTTTATTTAGAAAAAATGCTAAAGAGTAGCATACATCAAAATTTATTTGTTTTTCACTCTAGGGTGAGAGAGGGAATTCTGGACCAGTCGGACCTCCTGTACGTTTGTATTTATTACATATTCTTTTCAATTCAAGGTTCAGACAGAAACAATTCTATCATTCCTCTACTTGTTAAAAAAGAACATTCAGAGCAACTAAGTCGTATCTCATTTATTCAGGGTCCAGCTGGACCTTCTGGTTTGAAAGGTGAATTTGGAATGCCAGGCAGACCTGTAAGTCTTTCAAAAAATAACTTTCATCAACAAAAAATATTCGATGACAGGCAACAGCATACTTAACGGAGTATGTAATTGAATTTTACTTAATATCTTAATTTTATGGCTGTAGGGCCGCCCAGGTGTGAACGGATACAAAGGAGAGAAGGGAGACCCAGCGTCAGGCTCTGGATATGGTTACGCAGTAAGTACACCATGCAGTTTGTTCCATCAGAGATTGTTATATAAATAGCTTGCCCTTATAAGTTAGTTTGTGTCTTTTCAAGGGTCCCCCCGGTCCCCCAGGACCCCCTGGTCCCCCCGGACCTGCTGTGCCCTTGGACAGATTTGGAGTAAGTGCTATTTGTGTAAAATAAGCTGTAATTCATGCATGAAATGTTGCAAAATGAGCTCCATATGGTGGTTGTTGAATTGAAGTGATCATGATTGCCACAGCACTAATTTGCTATCTCCTTTTCCATTTCAGAGATATGAAGATTATTCAAGGCAACACCCAGGTAAGATGTTAGTCATTCTTGTCACAGCAGATGATCAAAATATATTTTATAAGTGTCACAAAAGTCAACATGAAATCAAAATGTACCCTATCTTCTTTCCTAAAGATCGTACTGTGCAAGATTTATCTGTACATGTTTTTCTTAATAAAAAATCAATTTAAAAACTTGCTCTGCCTCTTTTTCTATGTCTGTTCTGGTCCAATTATTTCCAAATGGATCAAATCAAATCCCAACCTACATTTTTTTCCCCTTCAATGCCTTGTTTCACTCAAACATTTTCAACATTCCGGAAGAATAAAGTATTGGGAACTGCATTTTATGTTGATTTTAATGATATTAATTAGAAAGAGTTCAAATGTCTCCAATCATCCGTGACTTTTTGACAGCTATGAACAATGCAGTGTTTTGTTTTCTTAAGCTACGAAAGGAGATAAAGGAGACCAGGGAGCTCCTGGGATTCCCGGATCACCAGGTAAAATGTACCACTGTTGCTGTTTCAGGCGGCAATAACAACGCTATCCTGGGCTCTGTCTGAAGTACCCTGACTTACTAGCTTGACATCATTATCAAATCATTGTAAAAGGTATTGTGATATTTAATGTACGAATGTATAATGTAATATTCACTTTTTTTTTCTTTTTTTTACAGGCTTTTCCTCAAATCTTGATATCTATGCCCTCAAGGTATGTGGATCACTAAATGCATTGATGAAACGGTTGTTTGATTATAACAATGATGTAAACATGAAACCGGTTTCCTCAGAATGAGATGAAGGGCGAGCGAGGTGAGTCCGGTCTTAAAGGAGAGAAAGGAGAGCCAGGAGGTGGATTTTATGACCCTCGTTTTGGAGCTGGACAGGGACCGCCAGGAAACCCAGGACTTCCTGTAAGGATTGATAGGAGTTTCTGGACACAACCTGAATTGAGTACTTACATACTCTACATATGGATGGTCTATATATTTTCCAGGGACCTAAAGGAGACTCGATCAGAGGTCCCCCTGGACCGCAGGGTCCACCAGGAACACCTGGGGTTGGTTATGATGGTCGTCCAGGAAACCCAGGATCTCCTGGACCCCCTGGCCCTCCAGGGTCACCGTCATTGCCAGGAGCCTACAGACCACGTAAGATAAAAACGAGTAAAACATTCTTCCTGCTTTCAGAATATTCTTGAGGAACTTAAATAACAATCAATGCTGTGTGATTTTTGTATGTTTCAGCACTCAGTATTCCCGGGCCTCCAGGTCCCCCCGGCTCACCTGGAATTCCTGGCACTGGATCTGGGGTGAGTGGGACATTCATTGAAGAAATTAGTGTATCTGATAAAACACCTGACACTTGATACTTTAATCATACCCCTGGTTTTAAATGTGTCAGCAGGTGACTGTCATGAGATCTTATGACATAATGTTTGCGACGGCACGCAGACAGACAGAAGGTGCTCTGATTTACATTTTGGACCGAAACGATCTCTACCTCAGAGTTCGGGATGGTGTCAGACAAGTGATGGTACAGTTCTTTAAAACACACTATTTTTTTTGTGCACACCTATTCATTTATTTAAAATAAAAATAAAAGAAGGCATTTTTGTGCATAAAATGATGTTAACAATCTTTTATGATAACATTTCTGAATTAAAATAATCTTATATAGATTATATAAGATTCACTATTTCATCATTTTTAATTCTCCATTTTGTCATCTTATCCATATTTGTCACTGACCCATTTCAAGGAGAACATTATATAGTGTTGGAATTTGTTTTTTGACATATCTTTTCACATATTAAGTCAATTTTCCTTTTATTTGCAGCTTGGAGATTATAAACCCTTCTATGGAGAGCTGGTAAGCAGTGTGAATAAAGCTCTTTAACATTCAAATAAGCACCCACCATTTAATCAAAGGAAGTTGGAATTAGTGGATGAGCGTATCAATTCCTGAAGGAATGACTGTAGCTTGTTGGCTTTTCCTCCAGGACAACGAGGTGGCAGCGGTCCAGCCGCCCCCTGTTGTTCACTATTCCCAGGACCACACATCTAACAATGGAGCGGAGCAGATTTCTCCACCGCACCAGCCGATTGAGTTTCCAAGGAGTGAGCCAGAGAATAGAAACCCCAATCCGCCTGACTCCCGTTACCCAGATCCACGATACCCCCCCTACACTGATAACAGGTACAATCCTGTACAACCAGAAATCAGATACCCTGTTCAACCTGAGAGGAACCCTATCACTCCAGCCCGCCGTCCCAGCCCCCCTGTCAATCAACCAGAAGGCCACACCCACACTTCCGGACCAGGGGTTAGTTCGGTCAACTAAGTCACAATATTTGCACAGTTCACCTTTGTTGTTTTTTTCCATTTTGACTTTCTTTCTCTGTGCAGTTGCATCTTATTGCCCTGAATTCTCCACAAGTGGGGAACATGAGAGGCATCCGTGGGGCAGACTTCCTGTGCTTCCAGCAAGCTCGGGCCGTGGGGATGAAGGGAACATTCAGAGCCTTCTTGTCTTCCAAACTTCAGGATCTCTACAGTATCGTCCGCAAATCCGACAGAGACACATTACCGATTGTTAACCTCAAGGTGTGTAGTCCATTACTCATGCAGATCTTCATTTCAGATTATCAAAGCATCAAGCCATTAGATTAAAGTGATTTTAACATGGGTGTTTTAGGCAGAGCACAGAGTGGAGTACCGTTAAACCCCTTTAATTGTGATAAAATAACTGTAACGCACGGCCTCTCCATTGCTTTCATAAAATGGCAACAACCAGGGCCGTCCTAGGGCGGTGCAATTTTTGCAGGTGCGAACCCACCACCCCCCATGAATGGACCGACTCACACGGGGCCCCTAGCCATGCTTTGGACGGCCCTGGCAACAACATGATTAAAAATTTTTTTTATCAGATTCTACTAATTTAATAATCAGATTAATCAGAAATGTTATACATTTTTTCCACCAGGTAGAATTTAAATTAGCCGAACACTGTGTTCTAATTTTCCAAGCGATTTGTCCAGACTAGAAGTGAAAAGGCTTTGTGATCCAGCACAATAACAACAAATCAGAAGATACTATGTTTAATATACAGTTCTAGTGGTACCAAATAATTGAAAATATCATGTTGCTGGTTGTCGCCGCGTGAAAGGACATTATTTTAGATTGAGATGGCTTTTATCATGCAGTCCAAATCCATAACGCACAACATACAAAATTGAGCTTGCGTAGGTAGAATCAGATGAAGACGATCACCATGTCTGTATAGGGGCTTGTAGAATCATCTACGTTCGCACCGAGTATGTTTCGGGCCTCAGAACACAAAGGTGATCATTTGATCTTGTGGATCATTTTGAGATTTTCTCCTCAAGACCGAACTTAACCAATACACTCATTTTTGGTGATCACGTTTCTTGTCTTTTCATGGCATTGATGGTCTCTTCTGCAGGATCAAGTCCTTTTCAGAAGCTGGGAGTCTCTCTTCAGTGACTCCGAGAGCAGGATGAAGGACAATGCTCCTATGTACTCTTTTGATGGCAGAGATGTCCTGAGGGACAGTGCCTGGTGAGTGCCAGTGGCTTTGGCTGATCTGTGTGAACCCTTCAAACAGAGGCCTCGGCAGATCATCCTGTCACTTTTCATTTTCCTTAAAACCACTCAGTCCACTGGAGCTAGAGATGAATTATCTATCTATCTATCTATCTATCTATCTATCTATCTATCTATCTATCTATCTATCTATCTATCTGTCTGTCTGTCTGTCTGTCTGTCTGTCTGTCTGTCTGTCTGTCTGTCTGTCTGTCTGTCTGTCTGTCTGTCTGTCTGTCTGTCTGTCTGTCTGTCTGTCTGTCTATCTATCTATCTATCTATCTATCTATCTATCTATCTATCTATCTATCTATCTATCTATCTATCTATCTATCTATCTATCTATCTATCTATCTATCTATCTATCTATCTATCTATCTATCTATCTGTCTGTCTGTCTATCTGTCTATCTGTCTGTCTGTCTGTCTGTCATTTTATCCATCTGTCTGTCCCGTTCATCCACAAAAAAAACATTATATATTATACAGTTCTGCTCTAAGATATCCCGTTTACTTGCTATTAACTCTTTTCCCACCATTGTCGTAAATTTCCATCATTTATGATACAACGCTTCCCCACCATTGACGGAATTTTCCGCTTTCTGTGTTATCGCTGTTATACAGTAGGGGCGCAATTACACATCTTCTGATAGAGTACTGAATCTCCTTATGAAAACACATGCTATCCCTTTCTGCTTCTTTACTGCCCATGTAAGCAGATGCATATGTAAAATAATGCAATCATCAACATTTAAATGGCATATAAATCAAAACTGCATAATGTCACAGAATGAAATGTCAACCCAGGACAAGAGGGTGTTGAGGGACTCGATCTACTCAATCGATGTTCTGATCATCGTTTGAATCCGATCCAGATGTAGTCTTTGACAAAAACGCGATTTTCTCCACTTTTTGCTTAAAATCTTACTTTTTTATGAAACGTACCCACATTCAAGTGTTGAAAAAAAAAAAAGCATGAAGCTAAAATAAAAGTTTTTGGGGGGTTTAAAAGCAAAGGGTCTGTTCTTTCTTTTGATATATTGCATGTTCAGATATTCATACAACAAAGTATTCTGGGGGCCATGAAAATTTTTGTGAAAATGATCAAAAACGCTGGCGGGAAAAGAGTTACGTGCCTCAAACAATATCTTTCAACGATTCAGTGCCCAATCTTTGGCCGGTCCAATGATTCATTCTTCCAATCTTGTAAACAAAATGTAGTTTCCCAAAAGACTGATTAAAATCCTGTACACCATGACCCCGCAGTCAGCCAATGCAATTTGACTTTGTAATTTCGGAAAGGTCTGGGTGTCCAGGTGTCCAGGTTTTGCTGTCTGAGAAGCACCTAAAATGATGATGTTTCTTCCTGTGTCCTGTAGGCCAGAGAAGATGATCTGGCACGGGTCCAGTGGCAGGGGTCACAGGCAGACGGATAACTACTGTGAGACGTGGCGGGCCGGAGACCGTGCAGTGACAGGTTTGGCCTCATCTCTGCAGGCTGGCCAACTCCTCCAGCAGACCTCCATTAGCTGCTCCAGCTCCTTCATCGTGCTGTGCATCGAGAACAGCTACATGGCTCAATCCAAGAAATAAAGCCGTCCAAAAGAGCTTTTGAACACTCAACACAACAGTTTATACAGGCGCTGTTTCACTCCAGTAGATTCCTGTATCTAATAAATGGAGATTTTTTTTAAAGAACTGAGTCTGCCTTAAGGAGAATTTGCCAGTCATTTATTCCCTCACCGTAACGCCAAAGAAGCTGGTTGAACGTGGAGGTGTTTGCTCTCTCTCAGGGCATTGGCACATATTTTTCAGGGGGTTAAACCAGAGAAGTGAGGCCAACTAAGGCAGTGTTTTTAACTGTATCCATATAAAATTTTGTATATGAATTGTTTGTCATCTGTGTTGTTGTTTTTGTTTTTTTTGAAGATGTCTTAATTGGTATATTTAACCAATTTTAGCTACATTGTTTGTGTAACTTTTTTCCTCCCCGCTTGTCTGTATCGATTTTATTTTCATCCAAGGTTTGTTGGATACTGAGGGGCAGACCTTATAGTTTTAGGTTTTAAAAAGAGAAAATATTTATTTTGCAATAAAGAGAGCTAAAATATGATTTGAAACAATTAAAATAGAATACTTTTTTCTATTTTAGTAAGCACTTTTTTTTTACTACATACTTCCACGGATAAAAGTGCAAGACTGAAATAGTTAATTGTTGCTAAAAACGGTCGCTCTCTCGAAAAAGCTCCCGTGGGCAAAGAGAAGATGCCTTGAATAATTCAATACTTGTCACTTGAGTTTTTGTACAAACAAAATTATTTGGAAAAACTTCTGTTGCATCTATGGGATCACTGTGTGTGTGTTTTTTCTTTTCTTTTGTGATTAATGTGAAATTTCATATGGACATTCTTCTTAGTGTCATTGCTTGTTTTACTCTTCTGGTTGATTCCAGAAGTTTTGATACAGCAAAGTGGATGATTTTTGTAACAAATATTCATGTAAAAAAAATGTTACTCAAAAATAGCGGTTACATGTCCCATAATTCATTGGACATATCAGAGGCTTTGGTTGCATTCGGTGCATTTCACTGATGAAACAGATGCTGACAGTGTTGTTTGAGAGAGACAGATGTGTTTTATGAAGACACTTTATCCTCTATCCATATGGAATTTCATACACCTAATCCACTATAGTGCTACTGATGTGTTCAGTACAACCCTGTGGGCTTCTAGTCTTTTTTTAACCAGTATGTGCTGTACCATGTCTCAGAGGCACTGAATAAATGATTTTTTTTTGTTTGCCACAATCATTTTGGCACAACTTCTTGTGTATTAAAATATGTTTCCTTAACCTGACCTGTCTACACATATCTTAGACTATGTTGTCTGTTCATGCACAATATTAACATTAGATATCATTCACAAGCCATTTCATATCATGAATGTGTTTACTGTTCACTGACTGATTGATTAAAAAATAAAGGTATTTTTTCCTCTCACTAGTATGTATTTTAGATTTTAAATTCATAAAAAAAAGGTTTTCACCCATTGTTTCCTTTGTGAGATTCATTTTTCCCCCATTAACATTAAATGTTTAAGTATTTCACCTAAAAATCACTATTTGTCCTTATTTACTAAAGCCATATAATGTTATTTTGTACATCAAACCAGATTTTTTTTTGAAGAAGAACTCATGGTCAGTGACTTTTGGTATAAATCCTGACTTATAGTTCACACAAAAGCCTTTGATCAGCGTAAGTGCTCTTCATTCTCAATGGTTGGAATTGTAAACTATGCGATTCTGCTAAATGCTGTTTAAGCACTGAAATACTCTCAGGCAACCGTCTTCTGTGCGCCTATGTTAGAGGGCCCCAAAGTCCTGATTCATGCATGTCTCTAAATTGCATGCTTGCCCCTTTGATGACATTGCAGTCCCTCCTCAGTGCCTATTGCACTGATTCCCTGTCCGCCTGAAGGGTTTTACAGCCTGTTCAATAGGATTTAGCGATGTGGCCTTGAGAGGGTCTCAAGGCACAAATCAGAGACTGCTGACATGGAGCTGGTGAAGCGGCCTCTTTTGTATCTCAGGACTCAAAGGTCCTTTCCAAGGATTTCAGTCAGGTGGACCAAGCCTGTGGTAAAATAACCCATGGGCATTTGAGAAAATTGATTAAGCAAAAAGTAAGCAAAAAATGAATAAAATGTCATGCCTGTCAAAGAGTACTGTTTCAAATGGTCTGAGATGGAGTGTGGCTCGTCACACTGCAGGATGGCAACAGGAACTCTGCAGGAGTTCAGCAGCATGGCTGTCTTTATGATTAACTGTTGTTGTTTTTGTTGTGATCTGTACTGAAATTAAAGAAAACACTGCTTGACTGCACAATTCTTCCCCCAAAATAGAACCAGGCCACCTTGTGACCAGTGCAAAACTAGCACTGCTTTTGTACTTTTGACTAAACTGTTTGTTTGTTTATTTCCTATTGTACAAACTTCTTATACTTTTACAATGGCTGTATATAATTTTTTTTTTTTTTTAAATATTATTTTTCAATTAATAATATTTTATAGAAATAGAATGCCATATTTGGTATTGAGAAAGAGCCCGTGTGATTGTGATTTCGACTTCAGTGAAAGTTACATTATTGCGCCATTAGATGGCAGTAAAGACTGTCTTTATGAGTGAGTCAGTAAGACTTTACTTTCAGGGACTGAAACAAGGTTGTAAACAACTCCTTAAGACGAAACTTACAGATGCATTGATTAGCCATGTCATGGGAAATCCCCTTAACTGTTAATTAGGACAAAGACAAAGATATTGCTTTCCTCAGCGGACATTCAAAATGATTTTGTGATATTGAATATTGACCTGAAGAATATCAGCTAGGTAACGTTAATGCACTCGCTTTGATCGCTCTCATACAATAAGCTTCAATTAAGCAACTCACCGTTCATTCATTGCGAGTTTTAAAGTTTTAGAATTAGTATGGACTGGAGGTTTGGCGCTTGGGCTCAACTGTTAATTTGAAATTTGAATCAGTGGCGGAAGGAAGTAGTTCCGCACAAAAGAGTGGTTTTAAAGACTACGTTGTTGTTTCTTATTTATTTACACACTTATGACATTGAACTGTTGTATAAATGCAATATCACTCTCGTAGCATTGCGATATGGCTCTATATCAGTATGGCTGTGATTCTGCTGCGATCGGCTTACACTTGCAGCCTTGTGCCTACGGGCCGAATCACAGCCGAGCTGATATAGAGCGATATAATCGCACTGCTACGAATGTGATATTGCTAATTTATTTCACTCTCTCTTGGTTGTCATTCTTAATTTTGTCTTATTTCTTTTTTTTATATCTCTAGATTTATGTAATTTAGTTTGGAAACTAGTTGACAGGCTATGGCAAGTCTGATTAGCAATGGATATTTAAATTTTGATCTAATAAGTAAACACAATTGGCCGTGACGTAAACCAAAAGGAAGTGACTCCACAGCAAACGATGGAGATTATCAGGTAAAAAAAAATATAGGCCCCATATTTTTATTTATTTATGAATCAGCAGGAAAGCAGTTGATTTGCCAAAATCTGCTTCACTGACTATAGCTCTGCCTTGGCAATCAGCACGCCACGCGCCTTATTTCTTTCTCTCTCGCGATCAACTACTCTGCCGCCTGTCATGTGTAGACGACGAATGTAACATTTTCATCAACCCCATGCATGGCACCTGACCTGTTACATGTATTATCTTCTCCATCTCTCTGTTGGAGGTTCATCTGGGATATACAGGTATTTTCTTTTAATTATCTATTCAATTTTGCTATATATTATTGGCTAGTAGCCTAGCAGTAGGGAGATACCCCTCGCTGCAGACTGTAGCGCGGTGACATCACGTATACACGTCACGTATGTACGTCACGTATGTGTTACCACGCATGCGCAAAGTAGACGCATGTGCGCACGCGCAAATTATACGCATTTGCGCACGCGCAGTTCATTACAATCACTTCCGGCGATGGATTCGATGGCAGTAAGTCAATAAGGATTATTTATGCTGTTTTAACAATTGTTCTTTTGTGTTAACGCATCAGAAATGTTTTAGATTTGACAAAAAATGTTATGTTTTATGATCTCATATTATCAAAATGACTTCAGCGAGATTCAGCGAGTCTTAAAATGATATGTATAAGTCTTAATTCGCCTTTAAACAAATTAAGGTTTGAAAGATGTCTTCAAATAGAGCAGAAAGACTTATGTAAGTAATGTAGTTGATTGTTCCATCCATTGCAAAAGAAATGTTGTTCCTCAGTATCAGATCGTACTGTAAAAGTTACATTCGTGAATGTAGTGAGTAGTACACTTACAGTACGTAAGTTATGTTAAATACATTTGTGGTGAAATTAATTAAAGTAATGGAGTTGAACATTGTATTTTGCTCAAATAAGATTCATTGTGATTCTCCTTAGTTGTTTTTATCATTTAAACAGCATAACTTTTTTTTTTAAACTAGTTTATGTTGTTCATAAATAAATAAAAGTCTCTTAGGTACTTTACAGACAAAGCCAATAACTTTGTTTAAAAAAAAATATATATATATATATATATATATAATTCCTTGTATGACTCTGTACTATATTAATGCCTTTCTTCAAAATGATTCATATTGTTTGTTCTGTATTTTATCTAAATTAGGTGTTGTGAACTGGAGTGCATTTTCCAGCAATACAAGCAAGAGTTCCGGGTGCCCTTCTCGTTAACTCTGTGCTTGCACTGCAATATACGAGGACTGCCCACCTGGGGCTGGGTGTGTGGGTGATGGCAGAAGGGGAGTCCTGCGTTGATTTTATTCTGATAAGGAGGTTGAGGGTTATGCTCAGTTGATTGTTTTTTCAATGATGGAGGGGAATTTCAAGCTGAGTGTGTGTGTGTGTGTGTGTGTGTGTGTGTGTGTGTGTCTGTCTGTCTGTCTGTATCTCTCTTTCTCTCTCTGTGTGTGTGTGTGTGTGTCTGTCTGTCTCTGTGTGTCTCTGTCTGTGTTTGTGTGTGTGTGTGTGTGTGTGTGTGTGTGTGTGTGTGTGTGTGTGTGTGTGTGTGTGTCTGTCTCTGTGTGCGTGTCTGTCTCTGTGTGCGTGTCTGTCTCTGTGCTTGTGTGTGTCTGTCTGTGTGTGTACAGATGTATGTGATTATCTGTATTTGTACATATTTCTTTTACACAATTATCTTTGTTTTGAAATAAAAGTTATGACTGTTATGAGTTTTTTTTTGAGTTGGCATGCATAATATCGGATACAGAGATTGACAATGTGCTGTTTAACTTCAATATTGGAATAGATGTTTTATGATAGCCTATATAATGCACAAAAATAAACAATTATTAACTATTAAAGGGGAATGATTAAAATAAGAAATATATAAGGTGCCATCAGTGTTTACAGTAATTTTGTAATTTACAAAGTGAAGTGCAATAAAAGACAGAATGAATCTAAGGCTGCTGGTGTCCTTTTATAAATCCACCATTGAGAGCATTCTTTCATATTGCATCTCTGTGTGGTTTGCTGCGTGTTCTGCTGCCGACAAAAAGGCTCTGCAGAGAATCATCAAGACTGCAGAAAACATTATAGGATGCCCTTTACCATCTTTGTCAGACATTGCACTTTGTCGCACTCTCTCAAGAGCCAAAAACATCATCAAGGACAATACTCATCCAGGTCACCTTTTGTTTCAACTGTTGCCTTCTGGTAGGCGTTATAGGTCTATACAATCCAGCACCACCAGATTCAAAAATAGCTTATTTCCAAATGCACTGTTTTAATTCAACTTTATACTGATTTTATACTGATTTTATTTTTGATTTATTTATATCTATTATTTTATGTACTGTAAGGATTATTTAAATGTATTTATTGTATACACCAGTGGAGAGTGATCCCAATTTCGTTGTATTGTAAAGTACAATGACAATAAAGGCATTCAATTCAATAGAATGTAAAAATAAACTTTAAATAAAATACTACACAGATATTACACAATAATACATTCTAAAATTTCTCATAAGTTTACCTTAAATCAGGCATAGTTAAAACTATGGATGTGTGTTTTACTTCTTTTTGCTGCTTTCATTATTACTTTAGAGTTTTTAAATACATTAACATTTTTGTTAAATATTATGTCAAATTGACGCGGGACGTCAAAACACGTGACGTAACCGCGTAACGCGCATGCGCTGTCGCCGCGATATGGCGCATGCGTGGTAACACATACGTGACGTACGTACGTGACGTATTGTATATACGTGACGTCACCGCGCTACAGTCTGCAGCGAGGAGTACTTGGCAGTAGGGGTGAAATCTCTGCATGGGCAGGGGGAGCTGCCACTCGACCCATCACTTAACCCGTCACCGCTAGGGGCAGCTGCCACTCGACCCGTCACGGTTATATACGCCTGCCCCGGGACCTGTCACCGGTATATGCGGCTGCCTAGGGTCCCGTCACCGTTATATGC